ATTTACAAAAATGTGAGGGGTGTACTCACTTCTGTGAGATACTGTATATATATATATATATATATATATATGTATTTTTTTAAACCATACACAGACAGTCAGATACAGATCTTTATGATATAATCCTCTTTGCATGTTTCTGTTTTGTGTCTGTGGTTAAGTCATGCTGAAAGGGACAAACATAACCCGCTGAGTGATGTGTCAAGTCTAAATATTGTGCACACTTCTGTAATGAAGTCATAAAAACAGCCTCAGGTCAGTATTTAAACAGTCAGTGGCTAACAAAAAGTGTTCTGAGACACATTGAGATGTAATATGTTTAAATAGCAGCCACAATCTCCATATTAACTGGACATTTACTGCAAAAAAAGCCATCACCCCAAATGACTGAATTAATCAAATAGTAAACAAATGAAGTTTGAACAGTGTTGGGCAAGTTATTCTGAAAATGTAATCAAATTACTGATTACTGATTACTCCTTTTAAAAGTAATCATGTTACTGGGTTCATGTTGCTTTTGTGCAATAGATGAATAACAAATTATTTGTTTTAGATATTTTATGTTTAGATATTTCTATTTTGCGGGAATCTCGTAAATCATTTTATTCTCCCGCATCCCACACACACACTGAGTTTGAAGCACAAATAAAGGAACCAAATGTGTGCAAAATTACACAGGATACAGTTAGCATTCTTACTTCTGCACAAAGCAGCCAAGAAATGAGCCAAAAAAGTCATGTCATGTGAAAAAGAAAGCACACCCTCTATAAATTCTATGGTTTTGCATGTCAAGACATAATAAAAAAAATTATCTGGTCTTGAAATTAGGTAAATACAACCTCAGATGAAGAACAACACTACATATTACACTTTTATTTATTTAACCAAAATAAAGCCAAAATGGAGAAGCCATGTGTGGTATACCATGATTCAACAGCTTGTAGAACCACCTTTAGCAGCAATAACTTGAAGTAAAAAAAATTCTGTATGACTTTATCAGTCTCTCACATCATTCACAATGTTGCTTCAGTTCATTGAGGTTTGCAGTCATTTGTTTATGCACAGCTCTCTTAAGGTCCTGCCACAGCATTTTAGGTTGAGGTCTGGACTTTGACTGGGCCATTGCAACATCTTGGTTATTTTCTTTTTTTGTCCATTCTGTTGTAGATTTGCTGGTGTGCTTGGGAGCCCTGTGTTGTTGCATACAGCTTTAGCTTTAGGACAGATGGCCTCACATTTGACTCTAGAATACTTTGGTATACAGAGGAGTTCACAGTCAACTCAATAACTACATGGTTTCCAGATCCTATGGCTGCAAAACAAGCCCAAATCATGACCCCTCCACCACCGTGCTTGACAGTTGGCATGAGGTATTTGGCTAATATGCTGTGTTTGGTTTTTGCCAAATGTGGTGCTGTGCATTATGGCCAAACATCTACACCAGGGTTCTCAACTCTGGCCCTCGAGGTCCACTTTCCTGCAGTAATTTTCTAGTAATCCCGAAGACCTTGATTAGCTTCAGGTGTGTTTTATTAGGGTTGGAGCTTAACTCTGCAGGAAAGTAGACCTTGAGGGCCAGAGCTGAGAACCCCTGATCTCATCTGTCCAAAGGATGGAACACTGTCCTTTTTTGTTTTTTCGTAGTTTTCTGGTTTGTTCATATGCAACTTTGCAAGCATAAGCCATGCTGCAATGTTCTTTTTAGAGAGAAGAAGCTTTCCATCCTTCCAAAAAAGCCATACTTTTCCAGTCTTTTTCTAACTGTACTGTCATGACAAATGTCATTATCATCTAACATGCTAACTAAGGCCTGTACAGTCTGAGATGTAGCTCTTTAATCTTCCTTACTGTAGACTTCAAATTGTTTAGAAATGGCTTTATAACCTAGGGCTGTCACGATTATGAAATTTGGCTGACAATTAATTGTCTAAAAATAGTCACGGTTATTGCGATTAATTGTCTGTTTTAGGGCTTTGACAATTATGCCGATTATCATGATTAATTGTCTGTTTTTATGGCTTTCATTATATAATTGTGATTAATTTAAGGGATCAGTAAATAATTATGTAATTTATTAGTCGTATATAATACAGCATGTGGTGCCATGCCTCATCTTATTCGTTTTTGTTAATAGACGTTTTGTAAGCAAGTTTGTCATTGTATCTTACTGATTTATTGTTGTTGTGCTTTTTAATTAAGAATAACAAAGAATCCATCTTTTGTTTTCGTTTCCATATAACTATAAACTTTGATAAAAGTTCATCAGCATGCATTGAATAATCCCATGTTGTAGCGCAAAAAAAAAAAAATATATTGCTGACCAAATCATGTGCTCGTGCGACCAGCTGGGAAAGTTAGTTGCAAAAGAGCGACCAGTGGGAAGAATGAGTCTGGAGCCCTGTATAGGCTATACAGTGCATGAAAAGCAAACTGGTGCTCTTCTGTTTCGTTTGGTGTATGACTCCCCCTTGTCTCGTATAAAAAGCACAATAATCGCGGTTGTCTGAAACAACCGCGGTTAGATCAAATAATCGCGATTAGACGGTTATTTAATTATCGCGACAGGCCTACGCCTCCCGATATTGACGGGCAGTAACAATTGCTTCTCTAACATTTATTGCTGACTTTCCTCCTTGGCATTGTGTTAACACAAACCAGAATGCTCCTGACCATGCTTGCTGATCATCAATTAATCAAGGGCATTCTCAATTCTTATGAAAGTAGTAAGGATGCATTTAGTTTTTCACACATGGCCTTTTTGGCCTAGTTTTTGCTAAATAATGACACAGTGTAATATGTCATGTATAGTCGGTCATTTGAGGTTAAGACTTGCAAAGGATGAATTTTTTAATGTCGTGATCACAAAACCATAGAATTCAAAGACTTCAGTTTTTCACATGACTGTATGTCAGAATATTGTATTGTGTATTGTTTTCAATAAATGCAGCTGATAGATAGATTGTAAGATACTTTGGAGTCTGACAGTCTAAACATCACAATGAAAATCTGGTGTTTACAATGTTAACCTGGCAGAGGAAGTTTCAGGATTTTGAAATTGGGTAAAAAAAAACATGAATAATGAATGAAAGAAATATGTATGATTCACAGACACAATTTCTACAGAATCATCAAGTATTACTATTACATTCGACTATTATGAATATAATGTAATAATCATTGATTATGGACACTTTTAGTCTTTTATATCAACTTTATGCAAATAAATAGCAATTTTGGGGAGGGATAACCAATATAAGAGATGACGGTAGAGCTCAGCTGCTGCAGTGATGGAAAGATGGAAGAAAATATGAACCTGTTTTTTTATTTTTATTTTATGTGACATAGCTCTGACCATGTACATTAAAGAAAACTGATGTATGGAGAAGTGTATCTGAGATTGAGGGGATTCCAAGTAGTTTTAAATAATCACACAGCCTATAAAATTAACAATTAAATAATCTGTTTTGAAAATTTGTTACATGTAAGAAATTAAACAAAACCAGATAAATCATCAGATTGTAGTGAATAAACACACCATCCATGGGCTTAACTCTGTGACTCTGTAAAGCGGAATGCAAATCTAATCTACTGAAAAACTGATGCAGTGTCAATGGTCAGTTCAGCAAGACTTAAATTTGTGACCTCCTGTAGTTAAAAAAATAAAATAAAATTGCTTTGAGGCAGATTTTTAAATGATTTTCTTTTAGATTTTGTGTAGTATTTACATATGATTCAGTAAAGTTGATTACAGCTGCCTGAATGCCTGAACTGCTGAATTTACAGCCTCTTCAACAGTCCATCTTTGGCTCACAGTTACAGTGCAGATGCAAATGACCTGTATTTAAATGTGCTCGCTGTGTCAGGCACACAAAGCAGTGATTAAAGATGTGCAAATTATTTACCAGGGAAAGCCAAAATCTACTGAGGTTGTCTTTTGCTGTTTGCTGTAATTATTTGCCGTAATCATGCTTGTTTGATTATAACAGTATTAATTTATATTTAGACTCATGAGTTAAGAGTTATTTATTATCTATTTATTAAAAATTATACAATCCAATAAAATAATCCACACAGGAGTAAACGTATTGAGATCATTATCAGTGTTATTTCAGTGTAATTTAGTTACTATTTAGTTTTTATGGTCACACCATATTGTTCAATTATTCAAATAGTAAACAAATGAAGTTTGAAGCACAAAAAAGGAAACAAACTGTTTTTTTTTACTGGAATGGTTTTTATTTTTTATATCTTCATTTTAATTTTAATTAAAGTTGTAGTAATTTTGAGGTTTATTATTAGTTAAATATATAGTTTGTATTTCAGCTTCGTTTTTTTTTTAAGTTTAGTAGTTTAAGTTAAACTAATTTAAATGGGAAATATTGTCTTGGCAACTAGCTGAAATATATTACGTTTTAGTTATTTTACATTTAATTTTACTTCTAATTCTGGTATGATTTCACGTAACAAAATGTTTTTTATTGTTTTTATTTTTTTAGTTAACTACAATAACCCTGGATCATATGGATGAATTTTACTCACTTTAAAATAATAAATAATGATAAATTATTATTTCTTAACTGAATAAATGAATGAATTATGTGTGTGTGTGTGTGTGTGTGTGTTTCTGTGAACATAGACTCACCAGAGAGGGCTTAATACCAATGCTTTCGGCTGCTTGGAAAGCCAGGGTGAGGTTTCGCCCCTATAGGGAGAAAACAGCACTCGCTGAATATTATTTACAATAGGGAAAAGCAGGTGTCTAAACCCAGCTGAATTCTCTAGCGATGCTCTAGAGAGTGATGAAGCTTCCACACAACGAGGCCTTTCAGTAGCCCAAAGAGGCTTTGTGAATAATTCAAAAGCATAATGTACCATCTCATCCTGTAATCACTATTATACTTATGGCTGCAATTTGTCACACTAAAGACTGCGGCGCTTTGCCTGTTCGTGGGTGTGTGTATGATTGAATAAACACACAGGGAGGGCAAAGCAGCCGTTTATTTGTTATGTATGTTGTTTCTACACCTTTCCGTGTGCCGTCTGTTCATGTATTCTGTCAACACTAATCCATGAAAGCATGTAATTCATTACATCTGGCAGGTCAGAAGAAAGGAAACCTTGACTGTTAAAACGCTATGCTTGATTGCTAAATGTGTCAGGCACTAAAGTGCGATGATCTACAAAGACACTTCACTAACCAGTGTAACAAATATATGTGTGTTTGTGAGTACCTTGTCTTGGCTGATGAGCTCTTGGTAAGGGATGTGTGCAGGCAGATAGGTGTGTAACAGAGCACAGAATGCCAGGCCATCACTCCAGCTGCTGCTGAAGTTTGTCACATCTATATTCTACAAGGAGAAAGAGAAAGAGAAAAGTTTAAAAACACCATGTAACTGAAATAGGAGTTGTTAGCTCTTAAGTGTATGTCTGTTTGCTCTGAGGCCATCTGTATGCACTATTCTTTTTTCCTTTTTTTAAAAAGATGCATGCTATAGATGCACAATCAACCAGCTGCCGATTGTTTTCAGAGGATATTCATTCCAAACCTGTAACCGGAGACTGACCAATTATGCTTAAATTAATGCTACACGCAAGAAAGGCACTGGTAATAACTGACAGAATAGTCTGTATGCCCATATTGGCCACTGGAATTAATGGTTGGCTTCAGAACATAATGTTATATATAATATAAATTATAATATATTAAATTTGGGATATTAATTTACTACATTTTTTTTTTTTTGTTAGATCAAAAACAGCAAAAGCAGTAATATTGTGAAATATTATTACAATTTAAAATATTGGTCTTTTATTTCAGTATATATTAAAATGTAATTTATTCCTGTGAATGCAAAGCTGAATTTTCAGCATCATTACTCCAGTCTTCAGTGTCACATGATCCTTCAGAAATCATTCTAATATGCTGATTTGGTGCTCAAGAATGTCATTATCAATGTTGAAACCAGCTATGCTGCATAATATTTTTTTGTGGAAACCATGATAGTGTTTTTTCCCCCTCAGGGTTCTTTTATGAATGAAAAGAACAGCATTTAGTCTATATGAAATATAACTTTTTTTGTATCAATGCAAGTCTTTACTTTTTATTAGTTTAATGCATCCTTGCTGAATAAAAGTATGAATTTCTTAAAAAAAAACTTACTGACCCCAAAACTTTTGAATGTTGGCGTATAACATCAGTTTTCAAAAGTATCTGTCACTGTATTTTGCATTAATTTATGTTCATTTTAAAAGCTGCTATTATAAAAGTACCTGATGAGTGGTGTCAGACTGCACATACATTTGAGAACACTGTCTCATGACAGCATTACCAGTTTTCAGAGCTCACCAGAGATACTGTATATCAATACACAGCAGTACTAGCACAGTGAAGTCTTCTCTCAAATACTCAGTTATTATTGATTTGCATTAACCAAAAGGGAATCAATGATTCAAGTGAAATCAATCACTGATTCAGGTGAATGTTCACTGGAGCAGTTTTAAAGCTAGTATTGAATAAAGTACTGGATATATTTCTCTTGGTTTTGAATGTGTTTCTAGGCAGTGAGATGCTGAACCCTCATGAAGTTTACTAGTGTGTCATAATGATCTTTGACAGGAATTATTCATGTCTGTTTTCAATTAAATGTTTATATTATAGAGAGAAATCTGCAAAAATGCAGAATTTGGAACAGAAATGGAACACCTGTCTTTCATAAAGTTCTACACATGCCCTGCTTAGTATGTATTTGTTATTAAATATTTTAATAAAGGTTAATTCATCCCAAATTGAAAATTCAGTCATCTTTTATTCACCCTCATAACATTCTAAACCTTTTTTTCATATTCAAAACACAAATGAAGATTTGTTTTATACATTTTCTCATATATTTTTTTGTATCCAATGACAGTCCAGTGCAACCAAAATTTGGCTTTATAAAGTGAACATATTTAATTTAGGATTTTATTTCAATATACACATTGATAAATGCAAATACATAGAGATCGATCACCAAATATGGTAAGCAAAAGCTCAAACATGCTTTCTTGAAGTGTGAGAACCAATGAGTTTTGTTCTTGCATGTCCCACAAACATTTCTGAGCTTCTGAAATAAAAATTTGGTTGTGAGGACTTTCAATGGATGGACAAAAATTATGAGAGAATATTAAATATATTGTAAGATGAATGGTCGTATTATAGGTTTAGAATGACATGAGGAATAAATGTTATTTCTGGGTGAACTAGTCCTTAATTTAGTGTAGTACTGTCACGTTTTACCATGTTTAAATTCAGTCTACCAAATTTACAACAAAACAATAATAGCGTGTGACAGAAAACAAAGGACACAGAAGCAAAAGAACTGTTGTTACATCAATTAAAATATTGGGATGGACCTCACACACTCTAGACTGTTATCTCATTGTGTTTCACTGGACTTCCTGCTACTTCCTGTATGTCCCAGTGCAGTCATTCTTCTTTGTATGAGTGCATGTAGTTTGGGAACAGGGCAAAGGGCCAGTGGCGACCCTCTTGGGTTCAGCCCTCATCAGCCCCTACTGGGCCCTCAGAGTCCCAACACTTCACAAACATCTTTTGATTTAGAATCAGATGTTAGATTTGAAAGGAGACCCCGATAGAAGCTCCATCCTCAGCTGGGCCATTGGGGCTGAGATGAAGAGAAGAAGAGAAGTTCATTAGCCGTCTCTCGAGCAGGTCAGAAGTTCTTCAGTAAGGACGTCACCCACAGAGGGACAGTGAGGAAGGAACCATGTGAAGAATCCCACCATCTGTGCTACACTCTTGACATTTATAACCCGGTGTGTTCGAGGCATCCATCCTAAAATGTCTTGTTTTATGTGAAATATAGAGATTAAAGAAAAATGAAAAAATACATCAGACAGAAAATAATAACATGGAGTACCATTGAACCAACTAAATAAAATTTTAAAGGAATAGTTCTCACAAAAAAAAGTGCAACATGAACACCTTTTTCCTTTTGTGAAACATAAATGAAGACATTTTAAATAATGTCCAAAAATAGACAGTGACTATTGGCTGTTAAACTCAAAAAAATGACAAAAACCACAATAAAAATGACCTGTGTGCTATACTTAAATAAAGCCATAGAATAGATTTTTGTGAGAAGTTATTCACTGCAGATCTTCCATTCTGTGATAGTTACCACATTTCATTTGCACTTGTGTGTCAATTCAAAACACTGAAAAGTGCATTAGCCATGAGATATGCGGGAGCCAATGATGTTTGGCATCACTGACCTGTTGAACCTTGTGCTGTGTCACGTTTCAAAGTGTACAAGCACAAATGATATTTGAGAGCAGTGGAGGGAAAAATTATCAGCAAATAATGATGATCTATTTCTCACAAAGTTATCGTATGGCATCAGAGACACTATGTAGCAACATATGGATGGCTTTTATGGGGCTTTTACATCCTTTTTGGATCCTGATAGCCCTCTCCCTTTGTTGTACTGTATTATAAAGAAAAAAATCTCCTTTTGTGTTCTATAGACGAAAGTATGGAATCACATGATGGTAAATAGATGATGACAGAATTTACATTTCTAAGATGAACTATCCCTTGTGAAAAAGAATTGTGCTCAATTAAGTGCTCTTAATTGTATTGAGTGTGCACTTCAAATCTTAAAAGTATATTTTACTTGCACATACTATAATATTAATGAAATAAAAGGCCATTAAAGAGAATACACTTTCATGACTGTTTAACTCACTTAAATGCACTTTTAAAAAGTGCACTTAGTAAAAATGCCAAATTGTAAATCATTATTTTATTAATCTTTTGTCATTCTTTAAATAAATGTGCTGACTAACATAAAGCCCAGAAACTTTCCCCAGGAACTAGGGACTTTGGGCCGGGTACTCGGTGTGTTTCCACCGCAGGAACCAGGATCTAAATAAAGTTCCGGGTAAATATTTGTCCCTCAGAATGTCCCTGCTCATGAGGTAGTACTTTTTCAAAGGTCCGGGACTTTCGGGGGTGGGACTTGGGCACTAAACATGCTGACTGGTTGAGTTCATGCAGCACTGTATTAAAACCACCATTTATTCGCATAATTTTGTGAATATTGATGTTATTGTGTAATAAAATGTAGTTTTAAGAGTTGTTTTAAAATCAAATCTGCGGTATATTTATAAAGACATTTGAAAATTGAAATTGAAAACTATTTGAAAATGTGCTTCGCCGATTTCGGAGATGTGAGCTCCAGGCAGTCACCGGGCGCTCAGTGCTCATGTAGTGGTTAAACAATTTGTTTTGGGGAAATCTAACGGGCAGTCTTTGGTCTCATGAATCTATTATTTGTTCCAGGTCATATCCTTTTGGCTGAGCACAAAGTTATGTTTCATAACTTTATATATTTATATAATTTTGTTTTTATATATTTATAACTTTATTAAAATGAAAATGAAAAGAGGCAATGCTGTTTGATATAATATTTTGTTTTATTGTAATGTATGTACGTTGCCTGAACTACATTTCTGCGGCTATTAATAGCCTGCTTAAATGAAAACGAAAAGAGGCAGTGGTGTTTGATGTCATATTTCATCTTACTGTAAATACAGTGAGGGAAATTGCAGTAGCCAAGGCGAGCAGACTGACGTTATCAAGTACGCTGCAGTTCCATTTGCAGAATTACCGGACTTGCGTCGTCCTGTCTCCGGGAGTTCACACTTCCGAGTCGAACTTGCGAAGTCCGAACTACCGAGGATGCAAGTCCGAAATTTGCGTACTTGGTATTGAGAAACAGCCCTGGACTGGGAGGAGCAGTCGCGCGCAGTCCTACGTCACCAGACTAACTTATTTGCCTAATTTTCACGGTACATTAAGGCCGCAGTGGAAACGCAGACAGCAACAGGTCTGAGGGAAAAAAGTTCCAGGTAATTTCGGTGGAAAAGCAGCTATATTAAACCACACATAAAGCACTTGATTCTAATTTTAAAGCTGCAGTCCGTAAGTTTAGCCTCTTTGTCGCCATCTCTGTTTGAAACCTGCAATTGCAGTTACTTGTGGAATTATTTTCTTAACGTGGGTTGTGCACCAGCACGGCTCCAGCGCGGATGAATCTCATGTTTTGAGGTGTATGTGTGGCTGTCAGTCACTGCACTGGTGTGGATACTGTACTTCAGAATCACAGATTCTAGCCTACGTCTTGGAATATATGACCCAAATAAAAATTTTCACTGGATATTGTCATCTGAACAAGTAAGAAGCCACTTTTGTTCTGACCAACTGAGGAAAAAAGTATTACAATAAATTGCACTACCAATGGTGATTAAATATAACAATCAGTTAGCTCATATCACTTCAAACCGT